CGCTCCTGGCCCGGAGCCCCCATCCTTTGTGGTCTGCTTGCTTTCACTGGTCTGTGAATGTCCCGACATCAACCAAAAAGTGGGGTTATTTTCCCTTTTTAACAAACTTCAAGGGGCCGGCAGTGGCCTGAATACTGTGGGGCTCAGAGCGGTGGTGGAGCCGCCGCAGCTTATTGCGTCGCAGCTTCAGCTGAGCTCACCGAGCCCACCAGTGCCTGGTGACCCAATGTCCTTAACTTTCTGTAGTGCCATGAGCACTGAATTACCAAATGTTCACCAAGGGCCAAGTGTGCAAACATTTAATGCTGCTCAGCTGGAGCGCAGGAGCCTCATGCTGCAGTAGCTCGTATGTCCAGGCTCTCAGCCCTGCGGGGAGATGGTGGAAACGGTTTGGACATGGTGCACTCCTATTTTCTGCCGCTGATGAGCATCAGCCTCCTAGGGCCTGAGATGTTTTAATCAAACTCCGGTCTTTGGGTTTCATATCGGGATGAAATTTAAGACTGTACTATTCAGACTTGATTTACTAGTCTCTTTCCTGGCTCTAAGTCTGCGAAGCAGTGAGATTATGTCTGGTTTGTTTGGAAACCATCTAAAAGATATCTTCCAACTCATGAGAACAAGTCCCTGGACTCTCATCATTGATGGGCATTTAGGGCAAAAGCTGTACTAAATGAGAATTTACGGTCTAGATGTGTTTGTCGGGGTTAACTTGATTAGCAGCTCAATGGGAAACCTCCAAGGAGCACGGGGAGAGAGCATGCAGCCCAGCGTACGAGGGCCTCGGTAGCTGGCACGCAGCGGGAGCGAGCAGAGCCCCAGCTCCTCTTTCAGAGGCGACGCTGCATATCTTGTCCTTCTGTGCTCATTAAAGATTCCAGGATTTAGGGAGGATAAACCAATATCTTTGCTAAATTCTGTACTAGCGTTTGCCTGCTGCCAGCCCAAAACTTTCACGGGAGTTTTAGTTTGGAGTTCGCTCATACCCTGCCCTTAAAATGTGTTGTGTGATGTTACCAGCACGCGTTTCTCCCCGCACGGGGCAAACCTTCCCCTTACAAACTTGGGGTGACATTTGGAAGCTGCAATCCCTTACAAGTCTGAGAACTTTAAAATGAGTGGTAATTGCTTCTGTGTGGTTTCAAAGCGAGAAACTCACTCAATAACGTTTCTGAAGAATCCTGTTTTGCTTGTGGATGTAACTGAGGCATCTGGAGTGTATCCCAAAGATGACACTCCTCTGATGCATCATCCTCAGAGCCTCTTTGCAACGAGGACGTGTCCGTGCACCGAGGCATGTTTAAATAGCTTCATCCCATAAGAAAAGGGGAATATGGGGGAGTTAATCTCTTCAGTGAGGGTATGATAAGACTTCAGCAGTCTCCTTGATATTATCATTCACAAAGTCATTCTCCAGCTAATGGCTTTTTCAGGGTGCCCCTGTGGAGGGGAGAGGTGGCCAGCGGCCGCCAGCCCGGCTGGCCCACCAGGGCTGGGTCCTCCATCTGATCCAGCGGAAGAGGGGCCTGTTGCGGGGAGCGTCCGGCTCGTCCGCTTCTGGCTCCTCCTTGTACTGCAGGACTGGGGCGCCTCTGGGGGAGCAAGGGTGTTGGGTGTGTGGGGAGAAGAAAAAACAAATGGGTTCCAAACTGAAACAATTGGCTGCCTAACACTGATCACTCAGCACTGAGCTCTTACCGTGCCGGCCCGCGGGAGAGCCCCAGGTTTCATCAGGAGCAGAGGAACAGAGGCCCTGGGAAACGGCGTGTGTTCGCTTGGTGGCCGTGTGGTCCGTGTCGTGGAGGGCTGTGTTGTCTCATGCTGTGTACCAGGCTCACGCTCGGGATTGCGTTGGCCTCACACAACGGCCAACGCTTGCTTGAGAGCTGAGTGCCGATGTTCATCGCTCGCTGTCTGCACTCCTAACACGTCTGTCTTGTCCTTCTGTCCGTCCCCGTCCCCTCTGCTCAGGTTCTGTGCTGCCCGCGCTGGGAGGGTCGGTAGGCAGTGTGAACGGATACCACACTTGCAAAGGTGAGACCGCCGTCCCCGCTGTGCTGCGTAGAGGCCGCGCCGCTGCGTCCCTGTCTGTCTCGTCTGTGCCCGTTGGCAGCAGTGTGCATTTTCATCCATGAGACATAAACTGCAATGTGACACCGGCATCCCATAGCAAGGGAAATGAGCCTGCAAATGGGCTTCCTAACTCTCAGCAGCGCCGTGCGGTAGCCAGAGTCACGGTGTGGGACGCGCAGGTGCCTGTGATTGAGGATATAGGTCAGGCTGAAGGACAGAGATGGGCAGGATGGAAGGCAGCTTTTGGGAGTGACAACGCCTTGACACCCCGTCAGATGGTGTTAAGAGCTGATAAATGGGAGATCATTTTAAGGCCTGCAATTACATTTATTGGTTCGAAGGGATTAGAACACCACCGATCTGAAGTGCAATTTTAATTATTCCTCGTTATCTGCTGTTAGTTCACTGGTTCAACGAGATAATAGGTGCATAAAAATGGCTTTATATTTTGGTGTCAAATTATTTAACACTGTATTAGCACTGACACAGGAAAAGTGGGGCTCAGCTTGCATCAGTCTCACGAATATGAAGGCATTTGCTTTGTTTGCAAATTGTCAATGTCTATATGTGATGCAAGTGGAAGAGCCCTTGTGGCATGGCAGGTGATGATAACCTGACATTGCTGGTCTCGGGCAGACAGGAGGGTGGGAGTGCAACCATGGGGCCTGGCAGGCTGCAGCTGCCCAGGGCTAGGTTAGTACCTGATCGTCCAGGTTATGAGTGTCAACGCAGGCAACGTTCCTCATCTCAGGCTGTTGTTTTTGCAATTAGATCTGACAGAAATCCAGTGTGACGTGTCGGACGTGAACCAGCAGTACGAGGGCCTTGGTGTGGCGCTGCGGGAACGCCAGCAGCAGCTCTCGGCTATGCTGGAGAAGATGCAAGAAGTGCAGGAGGAGGCAAGTTCGATGCTGAAGTGGCTGGAATCGAAGGAACGGACCTTGTCTGAGCTGGAGGCTTCTTCCTCGCCTACCAAGACAGAGACGATGAGAGCCCAGGCTGAGCACAACAAGGTAACTTCTCCCCAAGAGTGAAAGTGGGACCTTAGCATCGTGGCCCAAAGTTTCTTGGAGATGTACTTTACTGCATCAAGGTTAAAAGTATGAGCAACAAAAATCTGTCCTTGGCTTTTGCAAGAAGGGAGCGCAGGCAGGTCCAAGGAGCAGGAAGCCTCATGGTGTGCTTCAACCTCTTCGGGTTTCAGACCTATTGCTTACAGGCATTTGACTCAGAGAAAGGGAAGCTTGTCTACAGCCCTTGTTGATGGGTCACTCCAGCTTCTCTTGGAAAGCAATTCTCTATCCTTTCTTCTGCTCTTGGAGCCAAGTTAGCCGATGATACTGCTAATAAAATGAAATGGTTCTCCTGAAGTGCAAAGAACAGAAGTTGTTCAACTCCAGTTTTTAGCTGCTACTTTGTTCCTACTGAGTGATTTTATTCTTTTCTTTGTATCTTAAGAAATGCAAATGATTTATTTTCCAGGCCTTCCTGGCTGAATTGGAACAGAATTCAGGGAAGATCCAGAAGGTAAAGGAAGCACTTTCTGATTTGCTGGAGAAATATCCAGATTCTCCAGAAGCAGCAAATTGGAAGAAGATGCAGGAAGACCTGAGTAAGTGCCTGAAGGACTTGAAGAGGTTTCTGTCCTGAAACATCGCATTAGGAGCAATCCAGGATTGCAGGACAGCTCCAAAGTCACAGCAGAGCAGAGTCACTTCTAATTAGAATTCAGTAAATAGCGAACTTATCTCTAAGCTGTCTGGTGTACAAGGTGTTCCTGAGCCGAGCGCTGTCATGATTAATGAAATCTCTATGATGGATGTATATTTTAAAGGCTTGCCTCCTTAAATTACTTCTTTAAAAAGAAAGAAAAAACAGCGTTAGTGACACGAGTTGATTACTTTGAGGAAAAGCTTCACTGCTTGATAGAAAATTCTAGTCGTTAGTAAAGATATCCTAGGTAATTAAATGTTGACTAAACAAGGCTATATATTTAAAAAGAAGTCCAGAGATTCTCTTCTTTGAAATAGCAGGAACACCTTTATGGAGTTCTCTGTCCAAGTAATCTGAATGTGTTGTTTGAGGTCTGATACACATGAGAGTATCCTCATTTAATGGAGCTGGTGTCTAAGCCAGAGATGTGAAATGGCTTACCCAAGGTCAGACCAGCTCACAGCAGTAGAGATTAGAATGCAAAAATCCTGATTGCAAGGTTTTTCTATGAGCCCCAAGACCACACCAGCATTAGAAATGGATAATGGCTTATTAGATTGAGAGTGAATAGATCCACGCTAGTTTTCTTGAAAAGCTGTGGAGGTTTCCCCCGACAGATGAATCACAGAGGGAGTGAAAAGCCTTCTGGGTGGAGGGGCAGGCTGGCGGGTGGCGCGACCACTGCCAACGCAGCCGCTGGAGGAATCGGCGAACCAGCTGGCCAGCTTCCAGGCTGCCGAAGCACAGCTGCGCCCCTGGCTCCTGGAGAAGGAGCTCATGATGAGCGTGCTGGGACCCCTCTCCATCGACCCGAACATGCTGAACGCACAGAAGCAGCAGGTCCAGGTGAGCCGGGAGCTGGGCGCACATCTTCTTGGCGGTTTAGGGATGAGGAAGGAGGGACTCTCTTCTGGTATCTGAAGTGGAAAATTGCAGGCTTTAAGGCTTAAGCTGTGAATGTTTCTGTGTGAGGAGGAAAATGCAAACCTCTGCTGACTACTAGATTATTTATCTTGCCATAAAAGTGCTCTGCAAATGCTCTGCCACGCAGTGAGTAGCGGGAGAGCAGCCTGCGCAGTTACAGATCTAGGATCTCTTCTCACAAATCCTGCAAACCCTGCTGAGTGCAAACTGCGGTGAATGAGTTGAAATGGGCACAGTGCTCGAGCTCGGTTCCCTGCACTGGACTGACTCGTCACTGACTCACTTGGCCCCTGTAGGAGAGTGAAATTGCTTTAAAAAGACCTGCGCTGATGCTCGGCAGGACTCGTTAATGCTGCTGCTCTCGCCTGGGGCGCCGCCTGGCAGCCTGCGCTGTCTGCACCTAGTGCTCCCAAACCCTAACATGTCTGTAACTGGCCACATCATAAAATAAAACGCCCCGGTTAACATAATTAGATTTGCTTCTCATCTAACTGGTTGATGTTGCATTACACAGCAGGAGGACATAAAAGAGAGCGAGCAAAGTACTTTATCGCTAGAATCACAGACCCCTCCCAGGTTTTAAAGTTGTAAGGTCACAGTAAACTGCGATCTCCCCTGCCCACTCGCTGTCCTGCCCAGGCGTGTCTTGGTTTGTTCCTAGTGATTCTGTGGGCTGGATAAAGCCCCTGGAGGTCTGGTTTGTTTTGACTGTGTGTACTCGGAGCTGTCAGTTTTATGCAAACATTTTTGTGTTATTTCTGTTCCAGTTTATGCTGAAGGAATTTGAAGCTCGCAGACAACAGCATGAGCAGCTCAACCAGGCAGCTCAGAGCATCTTAACTGGCCCTGGAGATGTTTCTCCATCAACTAACCAGGTGCGGGAAGAGCTCCAAGGGGTTAATCAGAAATGGTCTGAGCTAACAGAACGCCTCAACTCCCGCTCCAGCCAAATTGACCAAGCCATAGTGAAGAGCACCCAGTACCAGGAACTGCTCCAGGGCCTGTCTGAGAAGGTGAAGGCGGTTGGGCAGCGCCTGAGCAGCCAGTCTGCCGTCAGCACGCAGCCTGATGCTGTGAAACAGCAGCTGGGGGAAACCAGTGAGATCCGCTCTGACCTAGAGCAGCTGGAAGAGGAGATCGCAGAGGCTCAGACCCTCTGTGATGACCTGTCTGTTCTGATTGGGGAGCAGTATCTCAAAGATGAGTTAAGGAAACGTTTGGAGACCGTGGCGCTTCCTCTCAAAGGGCTGGAAGACCTGGCAGGTGAGACAGCATGGAGAAGTTAGTTATAAGATATTGGGATGTCCAGCTCCTCTCCCTGTTTTACCAAAGGGCACTCCCATCATTAGGCTTGTGAGACTAATAGGGGAAAGGTGACTCCTTTTCACTCAAGCGCCACATGGGTGTTTTGCATGGCACTAAGTACAGGAGGATGTCTCGCTCCAGGCATCCTCGAGTGAAAGGCCTGGAGCATGTGCAGAGGTGTCTAGTCCTGGTACTGAAAGCACAGCATGTAGCTCTTCAGCAAGCCAGGGGGGCTTGTTGAAGTGTGGCTCGTGCTGTGCTTGGAAAAAAACCTGGGCCCTAACTTCAGAATGGAGAGCAGAGAAGACACAGTGGTCACCCTCTAATCCTGGGATGCCCCTTCTAGTTCCCAAGAGGTTGCATTTAGATATTAGTCAGGAGAACTGACTCTGCTGCATTATCATTACCTACTAATTCTTAAGAAATTCATGAACCAGTGAACAAAAAGGCTAGTGATGCAATGGAAAGAGCTCCTTCCTGTTAATCAAAACACAGTTAATGCATCTGAGATGATATAAGATGATTGCACTTTGCTTATTTGATTCCAGCTTAATTGTCGCGTTCTAATCTTATTTCCATTTCAGCCGACCGGATGAACCGACTGCAGACTGCACTTGCAAGTTCCCAGCAGTTCCAGCATATGTTTGATGAACTCAGGACCTGGCTAGATGACAAGCTCTGCCAGCAAGCTCAGAGCCAACCTATTTCTGCTAAACTGGAGAGGCTGCAGAGCCAAATTCAGGAACAAGAAGAGTTCCAGAAGAGCCTCAACCAACACAGTGGCTCCTATGAGATGATTGTAGCCGAGGGAGAATCTCTGCTGCTTTCTGTCCAGCCTGGGGAGGAAAAGACTATTCTGCAAAACCAGTTGGTCAGCCTCAAAACACACTGGGAAGAGCTCAGCAAACAGGTTGCTGATAGACACTCCAAGCTCAAGGACTGTTTGCAGAAGGCTCAAAAGTACCAACGACACACAGAGGACCTCCTCCCTTGGGTGGAGGACTGTAAGGCAAAGATGTCGGAGCTGGAAGTAACTCTGGATCCTGTGCAGCTGGAGGCAACTCTTCTGAGATCAAAGGCTTTGCTGAGTGATGTAGAGAAGCGCCGATCCTTGCTGGAGATGCTGAACAGTGCTGCCGACATCCTAATAGACGCTTCTCAAACCGATGAGGATGATGTTCGGGATGAGAAGGCTGGGATCAATCAGAAGATGGATGCCATCACAGAAGAGCTGCAAGCCAAGACAGGCTCCATTGAAGAAATGTCACAGAGGCTCAAGGAGTTTCAAGAGAGCTTCAAGAACATTGAGAAGAAGCTAGAAGGGGCTAAGCACCAGCTGGAGATCTACGATGCGCTAGGGCCACAAGCCTGCAGCAACAAGAACTTGGAGAAGCTCAGAGCACAGCACGAGGTGCTGCAGGCCCTTGAGCCACAAGTGGATTATCTGAAAAACTTCACTCAAGGACTAGTAGAGGATGCCCCAGATGGGTCTGACTGCTCCCAGCTCTTATGCCAAGCTGAGGTGGCTCAGCAGGACTTCAAAGCTGTGAAGCAGAAAGTAAATGATTGCTGTATGCTCATGGAAAACAAGCTTGAAGGGATCGGCCAGTTCAATAATCGGGTCAGGGAGATGTTTTCTCAACTGGCAGATCTTGATGATGAGTTGGACAGCATGGGCCCCATCGGGAGAGACTCTGACAGCCTTCAGTCTCAAGCAGAGGATGTTCGTATTTTCCTGGGCAAACTTCAACAGCTGAAGTCTGACATTGAAGCTTCTGAAAATGAATGTAAGAAAATGCTAGAGGACGAAGGGAGCCCTGATTTATTAGGACTGAAACGTGAACTGGAGACACTAAATAAACAGTGCAGCAAACTGACCGAGAGAGGCAAGAACCATCAAGAGCAGGTAGAAACGACACTGTCTCGTGTCGAGGACTTTTACAGCAGGCTGAAAGAGCTGACCCACATGACAACCGCAGCAGAGGAGAACGAGGCGTTGCAGTGGGTGGTGGGCACAGAGGTGGAAACCATCAACCAGCAGTTGGCGGACTTCAAGGTAAGTCTTTATGCTATGACATTTCTTAAGTGGTATTTGATGTTTAAAGGTCTGTCTAGTGTCGTGGCCCTTCGTTGAAGACTTATGTTCTTGAAGCTATTGCGACGTCATTGTTTGGTGCAGTAGAATATCCTCTGCTTTGGAGAAAGTAAAATCAACCACTGGAATTGATAATCTGTGATGAAAACGTATGACAAGATTTTGTGACGGGAGAAAAAACAGCTGTTCTCCTTGCAGTGCTCTAATGGTAGAGTGCCAATACCTCATGGCTTTTAGAGATTTTTGGTATTTAGATTTTTGAAGAGGGAGGAATGTTTTTGAGTCTGTTTGAACTGTAAGTTGGCATCATCTGAGAGTCTAGTCCACCTCAGATCATCCTGCAGGTCTTTCTACCTGGCCTGGCATTTTGGCTTGTCATTTACTTCACCTGGGACACACACTTCCACTGTTGGGTCCTTGAGTACAAATAAAGCCACAGATAAACTGTGGGAGAAGAGATGCGCACAGGGAATAAAGCCAAAGCAAAGCTAAGTTTTGCTGTAGGCTTTTCAAGTTTCCTGCAAGGAACTGATAGAGGCCATCCAGGCTTGCATGAAACCTTTAGCGAAAAAGGATTCTAGTGTGCTTGATTTCTATACAGTATTACGGTGTCGGGTCACGCTGTTACACTACATTAATTGCATTAATACTGCTTAGAAATTCTCTTGCTGTGAAACTTCTATTACTGATTTGCTCTGTAGCTGATGATTGGACTGATTTACTGATTGCTGCTTGTATCCTGGTGATAATAGGTGTTGGGGGGGAGGCACTTTTACAGCCATTTACTTTTCATCACATGGCTAATTGATCCCGTTCCATTTTTTAATAGCTCTGTGAACCAGGACAAGGTATTTCTGCTTGGGGGCTGCCTATCCGAGGAAGAGTTTGGGCATATTACTCACGGGGCGAATTCAAACTCATCTGATCGTATTGCCGTTGCCTCTGTGTTAGGCGGTCTCTTGCTTTTAACTTGCGTTGTTTGGGAGGGATTTAACTTCATCGTTAGGGGAAAAACAAAAGACAAAAAAGACCACACACAGTTGCCTGGAACAAATACATCCAAAAAGGAGGTTCTGATCGATATAAGCAGTGCCACTTTCCTGCGTAGAAAGGGATTGCTCCTGGCTGAGCAGCTCTCATTAGAAATGATGATGTAATGCAATCTCGTTGCAGTTTGCTTGATCATGGCAGTTGCAAAACGGTCTAAATCTCAGTGACCTCAGAGATGACCCTTTAAGACAACAGTGGCCGTGGCCATACGAGCTGGTGGCAGGGTGACGGGGAGGAAGTATCCTTATCAGGAGTCGCTCGTTAGCCTTTGAGGCCACCTGGTGCAGTTGGGGTCTTTGTCTGCAGAAAGCTTAGCAGAAAAATGAAAGTCGTGGTAGTGATTTTAAGGCTTTGCTATGCAATGGCTGCAAATAAAGTGGGGAAGAGCTAGAAAGGCGAACGGAGTAATGACCGTTACCTACTGACGTTCCCTCCGTGAACAGCTCGTCCGGAGGGCAGACACCTTTGCACGAGTCACGAGCGTTGCACAGCAGCTATTTGTCAAGCCTCGTCTTACGGTTCTCTCTGAGGGAAGTTGCTGTCCCAGCTCTCAGTCTGCGCGTGGACGGGCTTCGCAACCTGCGAGCAGAGATCGTCTCTACTCCGCGGTGAACGCGCGGGCGGGAGAGCAGCAGCACAGGCTGGCTGGGGCTTTGGGGAAAGCAGGGAATGCAGCAGAGTAGGAAAAAAAAACCGCTTAGCAAACACTTCTCTCTAAACCGTTCGTGTTACGGTGCTGAGTGACCTTCCTCCCTGAAGACTGCTGCAAAATTTGGCAGGGAAGCGGGGCGAGAGCACAGCCCACCAGCGGCGAACCAGCCCTGAGAGCGGAGCGAACCCGGCCGTGGGTCCCAGAGCCGCTCCGCGGGTGGCCGAGGCTGGGAGCGGGAGGTGGATTTCACCGTGGGGGAGGGCATCGCGCTGGTCCAGCGCTCGCTGAGCTCATGGGAAGGGAAAACGATGAAAGGAAGAATCCGCGTGTGCGAGCTGCGTTGCCACCCCGGAGGCCGCGAGCCGCGGTGGTCTCCCTCCATGCTGAGCTACGGTGGCGCGCTCTGGTTCCCGGGTCCCCGCTTCGGTTCCCAAGCTGAAACACAGCCATGCACAGCGGCTCCTAGAGCTTCGCAGCTGGGTCTTGCTCCCGTAGGTTTCCTCTCCAGCCCTAGGAACTGCGAAGCAGCAAGGTTTGGTGTGGCTGCAGATCTTCTGCCTCGACCTCCTTGCACACAAGCGATTGCACTGCTTGGGCGAGGGCTTTTTTTTTTTGGTCATGCTGGCTTTTATTCCTCAGTGTCTAATATTGGCTGCTAGTGGACAGTGTCAAAACTGTCTCTTTTTTGGATCGCAAAAAAAGATGCTTGCACAATGTGTCTGATGAGGGCCAGAGGCAGCTTTTCAGTTTGGGGAATAAGGTCTCCAGATGTGTTCCTTGGACGTGCATGTGGAAGGCAGAGCTCATCATTCAGGGAATTTGATTGCTGGGGATCTCCAGAAGCAATTTTGATCTGTCGGTCCAGAAGGCTCAAATGTGGGAAGGTTTTATGTCTTAAAGCATTAATTTTAATGAACATCTGTGTAAATGAGATGCAAATTAGGCATGGCCCCAGGGCTCCAAGCGAGTTGCCAATGCAGCCCTGACAAAGGTGGGCACTTCTGGGCTCATTGTGTCCAGATTTTAATAAAGAAGATATATTGAAGGCTCTGACTCTGAGGCCATGAACAGATGACTTCGGAAGCAATTTATACTTGAAGCATCCCATATATTTTTTCTTCCCGTCTACAAACACCCTTCAAACTTGCCACAAGAGAGAACAGCCTGCAACAAACCCTTAACTTTTGGAGAACTGATACCCATGCATTTCTTTTCTGTCCCCCCCAACCCCTTTTCTAAGGTCGCGGAGGTCCTAATGCTGGCTCTGGGGAGAGACGAGCCTGGTGTAAATGCTCTGCATAGTCGAGTTTCTCGAGTGTAGGAAGGAGACTGGGAAGCAGCTGCCGGGTCTTGCCCGGGGGAGCCTTGTTTGCAGCAGAGGTGTTGCGGTTCGCTGAGCGTGCGTGCACGGAGGGGAGGATTGTGAGAAAGCAGGCTGGAAGAGGTCCTCTCGTTTATCCCTGAGCTTTCTGGTGAGATCGAGCACAGCTGAAAGGCATTTCTGTGGTTCAGAGCCTGTGCATATATGGACACCCTGATGTATCGCGTTAGATACAGCTGTGCTGCAAATAAAATAATACGTTTTTAGCTTGCATTAAGCTGCCAGAGAGAGTGAAGGAACCTGATCTTTAACTCTTGGTCTTCAGCTTGAGTTTAGCCCGAGTTCCTTTATTCCCATCGCTGCTTTGTGGGGTCGATCTGTACCGGCAAACCCAGGTTAGCTGGGAGCGCTTGCTGTTTCCTGTGCGATGCGGATACGCTCTGCAACGGCATCGCCTCTTGCGTGAGCGTGATGGAAGAGCGCAGCCCTCCTGCCCAGAGCGCGTTTCGGCTCCATCGGAAAGGTTTAGCACCGGCCGGAGCGTTCCAGCATGGGATTACATATTGCAGGAACGTACCACGTATGATTTCACTTGAGAGAAAACCGGACTGACTTGACGTTGCTTGTGAAAGCAGTAAACCCGTGTGTGCTTCTTGGAGGAGGATGTGTTTTTTTGTTTTTAATAAAAGAGCACTAAAAGTTTGAAAATTCTCGCTGTGCTGTGTCCCCGCGAGCGTGGCGCAGCTGAGCTGGGCTCTTTGCGGGAACGACACGAAACAGCCACCACCGAGAGCTCCTCATAGCAGCATTCAGGCCCGGGTGGTTTTTTCCTCTCTTGCCTCCGCTGTCAGCTTCGTTTTCTCAAAGCTTGTTGCAATATTAAATTTTAATGACTGAAGTCAAATGAGCTGCAGTGGAAATGTTACTACACGTAACAGCTATGTTGATTCAGTTTAGCAAACAGCAGAATTCCCCCGGCAGGGACACGGGACGCCGGGTCCCGCTCAAGAGGCAACGCTTTTTTGTTACCCTCTCTCGAGTACCAGCAACAGACCTCAAATTACAGCCGTTCCTCCCTAAAGACTGCGAAAATAATACTGTGCTTCGAATAAAGCCATTTATGCCGTTCGGTGGCAGAAGAGGCTGGGCTTCGTTTGCAAGCTCTAGAAGAAGAGAGGGGTTGTTATTTTGTAGTGGTGGTGCCAGAAAGCCCCCGGCGTGGGCTTGGCTGGTCTGTCCAAAGAGCATCCGGCGGTCTGGGCCTCAGGAAGCCAATAGAATCAAATTCGTCAGTGTTTTTTGGGAAGAGATCAGTGCCTGGGTAGCTTGGCCTCTGCCTCTTACTCTAACCATGCTCGAGCTCTCTTTTGCTTGCTCCCAAACTATCTTCTTACGCAATGGATTTTGAACTTGGGTTTCAAGGCTTGTCTGCTATTTAGCACTGACAATGTTGAATTGTGAGCTGGACCCTCTTTGGTTCGTACTATTAGTTCTGGGTGTTTTCTGAAGTCCCCACATTTCACCTACAAAGCTGAGACCTCCCCCCAGCCACGCCGTGCTCCCTGGGTGCAGGGTGTTACCGGAGCCTTTTAGGCTTCCTGCAGCATAGGGTGATGCTTGGAAATGAAAGATGCTTTGCTTTTCCAAAAGCAGCGTGTCTGAGCGCTTCCGCGTTTCTGGGAAACGGTTGCCTTCTCATGATGAAGATTAGAGCAGAAATTGGGCAAGCTGCCTTCCCTTCCCAGGGTGCACTGAGAGTCCAGAAATAACGTCTGCAGGGGCCTGAACAACTTCACCTAATTGAAACCTGAGAGAAAACATCAAACTTGTTGACATAGCATAGCAAAATGATGGCTTGCGTGTTCGAAGCGGCCGGGGGGGCGGATGCGGTCGGCTGAACGGGGCAGGCAGAGGTTTGCACCCCAGAAGGAGGCTGGG